CATAACTCCAGGGTTCACCAGCAGTGCAGAGTCTGACAAGGTGTTTGAACATGCAGATCTGTATAGGTCAGTCATTGGTAGTCTCATGTTCATCACCAACAACACCAGGCCAAACATAGCTTTTGCTGTGGGCATGCTGAGCCGAACGGTGAGCAGTCCCAAGGTGGAGGACTGGACAGCAGTAAAAAAGACTTTTGAGGTACTTGAAGGACAGTAAGGAGCGGAAGCTGGTGTTGCGGGGATCTGAAGCCCAGCTAGAGTGTTATGTAGACAGCTCCTTTGCATCGGAGATGCATGACAGGAAGTCGGTAACTGGGTTACTCATCAGGTATGCTGACAGTTCAGTGGTCTGGAGGAGCAGGAAGCAGAGCTGTGTGGCACTGAGCATCTCAGAGACAGAGTTTGCAGCTTTGTCAGAGATGGCAGGGGAGGTGCAGTGGATCAGGCAGCTTCTGAAGGATCTTGGTGAGGAGTGCACAGGTCCAGCGATTGTGCACGAGGACTCACAGGCCTGTATTGCCATGGTTGAAGCAGAGAATTTGAAGAACAGGACCAAATACATCGGTGTCAGATATCAGAATGTGAGGGAGATGGTCCAGAATGGTGTTCTGTGTCTGTCCTACATTAGGTCAGAGGTCAATGTGGCAGACATCCTCACAAAGGCTCTGCAAGTGGAAAGACATGAGCGGTTGACATCGGAGTTAGGCTTGGCACCAGGAGCGGCAGCAGAAGCTCAAGGCTCTGGGAACTGGTAGGTTCAGCCAAGGCATTGGCAGAGTGGAGAACATCTGGGCCAGAGGGCCAGAAGATCTAGGCCAGAGTGCGGATGCACTAAAAGAGATGTGCCTGGAGTGGTGAACAGTTTCCTGTGTAAGGGGTGCATATCAGGAGAGTTCTGTTGGAGAAAAGAATGGGGTTCTGAGATCTAGAATGGGGTTCTGAGGTCTGGGGTGCACTAGGTCAGGTTGACAGTGGCACAGACAGGGGACCAGAGCACTGGGAGCCAGCAGGAGGACATCGGTGATGTCAGGCTGGTGGGATATGGCACACAAAGGAAACTAAGAGGTTCACACGCAAATGCTCCAAGTAAATGAGCTAAGAGATGTGCACACATTGTACATTTTGGAGGGGATTGTTAGGATTGGGTCCCAAGGGAAAATGTACATTGTGGGATAGTGCAGCAGCCAAGCATTTGGCCACAGCTGAGTCATGCAGCCTCATGCTGATGTCACAGGACATGACATCATGGAAGTAGTCACCTGGTGCTGGAAAGCATAGAAACTGCTGCAAAACTGCAATGTCACTCAGGTGAGTGACAGGTGTCCAGGAGGAAGAGTCAGGGCCAGAAAGCCATGTGGAGCACAGGCTATATAAGGCACAAGCCTCTGGACACAAATGTGGTTGTGGGTTGTGGATTGTTGATGGTGGATTGCGTATAGCTGTTTTGCTGTTGGAGTTGCATTGGTGTAGGCTGTACATATCTGTATATAGAGCAACGAAGATTAAAGCCTCATTCGTGAGACGTCTGGCTGTAGAGTCTCTGTGCTCTATCTGGAAGGGGAGAGGAGTTTCTCCAGATGACAAGCAGCCTGCTTCATCAGAGAAGTCTGGATCCTGGTGCTTTATGTACGTGGTCTTCACATGCTGCACAAGCCTTCCCTATATAGGCTGCATCTACACTTGAGGTTTAATGTAGCTTGACACCGCTTTACATGTCATGGCTCCATGTATGGGATACTGGGATTTGTAGTTTGGTGGGGCACCAGAGCTCTCTGGCAGAGAAGATTAAATACCTCACAAAACTAGAAACCCCAGAATTCCATAGCATTGAGACATCAAATTTAAAGCAGTGTCAAACTGCATTAATTCTGCAGTGTAGATACCGCCATTGTTGTTGATATCAGCTGCCCTTGAGTTGACTTTGATTCTTGGGGACCCTGTGGATGAGACATCACCAAGCTCTCCTGTCCTCCACTTCTCTACTTGGGTCTTGTAAATTCAGGCTTATGGCTTCCTTAATTGAGTCTAGCCATCTGGCATGCGATCTTTCTTTCTACTGCCTTCTACTTTTCCTAGCATTATTGTCTTTGCTAATAGGTTGTGCCTTCTCATGATGTAGCCAGCCTCAATTTAATCATCTTGGGGGGACTGCAGATGGGCGGCTCTAGGCTGCCCCGGGAAGTGGAGGATCAGGGCTGTGGCTACCGCATGCCACAGCCCCAACCCTCCCTTTTGCTGCCCTGAAAAGAGTGGCAAAATGCCACTCCTTTCAGGGGCAGCAAAAGGACACCCTAAGAGCTGGCGCGCGGCTCTTTCTTGCCCCTTATGGTGCAGCGCATCAGGACTCTGTGCTGGAAGGATGTCCTGATACCACACGCCATGTATAACGGCACACAGTATCAGGACATCGTCGGACTGGGGTTGAGGCGGCCGGTGTACAGCTGCTCCTCCCCATCTTTGCCTCCAGGCCAGCCCTTTGGGCCAGTCTGCAGAGGCCCTTGGTTTCCAAGGAGAGTTCGGGCTTTATCTGGTCAAGGACCTATTTGTTTGTCTTTTTGGCTGTCCACGGTATCCTCAGCCCTCTTCTCCAGAATCACATCTTGAATGAGTTTTTTCCCCATTCTGTTGGCTCTCTTCACTGTCCATCTCTCACATCCATACATGGTAATGAGGAACACAATGGCTTAGATTATTCTAATTTAGTACTCAGCTGTATATCTTTACATTTTAGAATCTTGTCTAGTACTTTCATTGCTGTCCTTCCCATTCCTTGTCTTCTTATTTCTTGACTGCAGTTTCCTTTCGGATCAGTGTTCGATCCAAAATATGGGAAATCTTTAACTATTTTGATTTCCTCTTTGTCTAGGCTGAATTTATGTAGTTCCTCCATGATCATTATTTTTGGTTTTTTTATGTTCAGTGTTAAGCCTATCTTTGCACTTCCTTCTTTGCACTTCCTTAGTTATTTTTCCTAGTTTGTGATTTTTCTGCTCATAGTATGGTGTCATCCTTTCTTCACTCCTCCTTATTCTGAGTCTAAACCTGCTCATACAGCCACAGAGTGCCAGTTAGCATACCAGCCCATGCTGCTCCCTAGGCCATTTTTACAACCACCTGTGATTCCAAAGACAAAACAGACTTCAGTAGAAACCTGAAGATGCATTCTTAATTGTTCAGAGAGCACTCTGCTCATTGAAACCCTCTACCTTTCTTTGTTTAAGGAATAAGGTTTACCCTCACTTATCACATTGCTACCCTGAGCTAATCATTTAAGAGTTCCACAGGAGGGATGGAACATATCACAGCCCAAATCGCTGAATGACTTTCTCCCTAAGTTTCGTATGAAGGTTACACATCATGTGGGAGGCAGAACTGAGAATTTGTCTAAATCTGTAGTTTACAGTAATGTAGCATTAGTATTCTTGAAAGAAATGCATATCCTTATAAATATTTGTCTTTTCTCCTCAACGACTGATATATATTGAGAACTTGGTAGGTATGCTTCTGAAATCTTTCTTCCAAAAAGATCATCCAACATTTTGGTTCCAAGTTAGCAGCATGGATGACTCCATAAGGTTTTCTAGTCATCTGTTGACATTTCAAGTATTGAATATAATATTTCCTTTCCCTTTAATCACACAGATGGCAATGCCAGAAGTTTAGAAGGTGAAACCTAAAAGCTATTTTTGGAAATTGAATTTTCAACCTACAGTGTATTTCAGATTTCCTGTTCAGTTGTGCACTTCTGCTAGAACTGTGTATGTCTGTCTCTCTGTTATATATCAGTTTCCTTAGAAACAGACATTTATCAAAGAACATCTTATGTTATTGTTACTGCTGCTGTTTATATGAGCCTTAGCCTTGAGACTCATCAATGCAACTGTTTCACAAGACAAATCAAAATAGGATTACCTTCACTGCAAGCATTTCCATTACAAGAGGCAAAGAAAAATGGGTTGTCTTGCTTTTAGTAGTAGGTCAGTAGAAACATAAGAATGTGAAAGAGCTGAACCTTGTACTTACAATGCACTTGTCTTTTCAAAACCATAAGTGACACAAATAATGAATTGTCAAGGTGGTATATAAATAACACCCATATCTGTGTGTCTGTTTAGACATGTCTGTTCAATATGCTGGTGTTTAGAGTTCATGGCCATTAGGATTCTAAACTATCCTCACCAATATCAAGCATTCATTTAAATCCCTAGTTTTTGGAATGGCCATGTATCCTCTTTTACAGTGGATGTTCCTCTGCTTGCAGATATTTCGATGTGGAGGCCTGGGGAGATTATCACACTTAGACAGGATAGAGATGGGATCACTCTCTCATCTTTATCCCATCCCTGGGGAGGAGATTGCATGAAAGCCTTTCATATTGTATGCAATGATCCTGTCATTATCCTGTCATTGAAGTGGCATTGCATTAACATGAACTCCCATTAATGCAAAATGCCGGAGCAATGCCACTTTAATGATGGGACAATGATAGGATCAACATGACATCATTTGAAAGGCTTTCATGCAATCACTGTCACTTGTGCTTTCCAGATGGGACAATGTCTGGATAAGCATGACATCATTTGAAATTCCTTCCCTTGATTGTGCAGGAAGGATGGGACAGGGAAAGGACAATGATGTCTTGTCCCCCATGTGATAATCTCCTGGTTGAAAGATGAAGAGGCATAGATGGGGAGAGCAAAAACTATGAAGTTGCCCATAACCAAAATTTAGAACCTGGACAGTAGGCTGAGCAGGTAAATGCAGGTTATCTAGTCACAGTCGTCTCCACAATGTGGTATGCATTGCATTTCTATTTGAACAATTATTTGAAGACATACATCTAAGTAGAGCTTTGCTTGTTTGTTGCTGTGTACCTTCAAGTTATAATTCAATTTATGGCAAGCCTAATCTTAGCAAAATTTGTTTAGAGAGGGTTTGCCTTTGTCTTCCTCTTAGGCTGAGAGTGTCTGAATTGCCCAGGGTCACCCAGTGGGTTTCCCTGGCTTAACAGGGATTTGAATCCTGGTTTCCAGAGTCCTAGTCCAATGCTCAAACCACTATACCATGCTGACTCTAGAGCTATTGACTAGCAAATGTACTGTGCCACTGTTTAGAATAGGAAAACAAGAACCCAACATTGTTGAACTTGATAGATTTTCAGCCTACTTTTAGAAACTATGGGTATATTCACATTGCAGAAATAAAGCAATTTGACACAACTTTAGCTGTCATTATTCTATTCTACAGAATCCTGGGATTTATGGTTTGGTGAGGCACCAGAGCTCTCTGACAGACTATTCTGAACACCTCACCAAAGTACAAATTCCAGGATTCCATAAAATTGAACCATGACAGTTAAAGTGATATCAAGCTGCTTTATTTCTGCATTGTAGATAGACTGTATGTTATGCCAGTGTTCTTGCAGGCATAGACCTAAGTTAATGCCAGCTGTCATATATAGTCCCAGTATTTGGGTCCCCTCTGCTAAAGCAAGGAGTTACTTGCCTCTATAAGCCACTCACCTCCTAATATTCTGTCAGATTCAGGCACTATTAACAAGCTGGTGTGTTCCTTCCATCAGACTATTCTAATGACCTGTCCATGATTATGACCAACCTAGATGAAGGCAAAGTACAATAATATCCAAAAACCACAAAACAGTGATGCCTTTATTGGGTCAACCAAAATCACAAAATACATGATGCAAGTTTTTGAAGCTCTGCTGGCTTCTTTCTCAGGCAAAGCTATTAAAAACCATATAGGAGAAAGAAAAAATTACATTGTTAGAGTTACAGGCCTACATTTTGTCATGGCATAAGAGCTAATATATATATATATATTATATATTATAAAAGTGGAAAAAGAAGAAGCCCATTTTTTTCATTTGTTTGTTTGTTATCTATAGAGGAGATACATGAAAAAAGGGAAACATGCCCTTTTATGTTGTTCATGTACTTGTCTCATTTAGTGCTGGATCAGAGATTTTCAATGTACCTATATTATACAAATTAAGCCAGTTTCATAACTGTCTTGGCTCTATCCTACTGAATTCTGGAATTTATAGTTTGATCATAGAATTCTCTTGCAGAGAATTCTAAGCACCTCACAAAACCTCTCTATAGGATGGAGTAATTGCAGTTAAGTGGTATGAAACCTATTCACCTCTGTAGTGCATGTACATGTCTGAAATTATTTAATAAATGTTAGTTTTTTTATAAATCCATACACATAAACTTCCTTTATTTGGCTTGCTTCTAGCTATATAAACTGAAAGAGAGGGAAATCATAACAGGAAAAAAGGTGTGCAGTACACCATATATCATTTGAAAACAAATACAGGCTAGTAATTTTTTTTCTCCAAGTTCTTATTCAATTTGCCATTGAATAGGATTTTGCCAGTAGAGCATTAACAGGTAAATCTAATTTTAGTGTGAGCACGATGGCTTATAAACTTGTTATTTCTGCTGAGAATTAAGCTAAAACAAGGTCAATTGTAATTGTAGCTGGTATTGTTAGATATATTTTTTGTCACATAGAACAAATCCAATTTAGAGATGCAAAGTTACTCTGATTATCACTTCTATTCCCAGGTTCATGCAAATCACTCATATACACTAATCTTAATACATTTAGGATTGGGATGTTAATTTGCAAGATGGATCCCATCTCTCCCCCAGCACACCACCCCCATCTCCTGCTGACATTTCAAAAGGTTTTCATGTTCATGCATACAAAAATAGCACAAATAGACTACATAAGCTCTGTGGCCACCCACCTCTTGAGCTAAAAGCTTTGGCAGTTCCTTCTGGCTTTGTATTTGCAAATGTAGCTATGAGCTTACCTTTTACTTCTTTAGGCATCATGTCCATGAAAGGAATACAGTGGAAGACTCAAGTAGTATTACTGTATGATCTTCCATGTTGCAAGAAGATACTTTTTGGTTTTTAAATTAATTAGCCTCTTAAATTAGGCAAGTGAATCATATAGTTTTGACCCATTTGCTTTCTAAAACACTTTCACTGTTGTACTAGAAATTTCTGTGCAACAGTGCACTACTTCTGGGGATGCAGATAGCATCATATGAAGACTCTTGTCATAATGTTCAAGGGCCCTTTGGCAACTGTCCCATCATCAAACATGCATTATGAAGAGAAAAACAAAACATCAGCTGTGTGGAGGTCTCAGGGCCAGCTCTATCATTAGGAAGGGTGAGGCAGCAGACTCAAGTGGCAGATAGTGGCCTGGGGAAGTGCTGGAAGACAGAACTCTGTCCTCCTGAATGCACTAAGCCAGCTGGTGTCTTAAGAAGTGATTGAGGAAGCTTTCCCATTGTCATTGATTGAAATATCTCATTTGAACAATTTCTACTTGAAATGGGGAGAGGATAATCTTATTTTTATTGCATAACACTGAAATGTCCCTAGAAGAAGGTGTGTGTGGAGATGAGGAGGAGGAAGAGGTAAAGGTGAAGGTAGAATACTTCTACTCTAAAGTAAAGTTCTACTGTAAAGGTACAGTAGTAATAATTCTGTGGTATCAGCAGTCTCATCTGAGAAATGAATTGAATCTGCTGAACTACCCAAATGAACTTCTAAACTTCTGAAGAATTTTAGGTTTGAAAATAGTACTTGGCAAGACCTAATTCCTCCCATGCACTCCTGTGTGCTACTTATCTTCAAAGCTTTCCCTTCCTACCTGTCAGGGTATGTACTTTTGGTCAGCTGTGCTATCTGTAGGTTTTTTTTCTCCACAAGAAGGAACACTTGATTTATGGTTGAAATATAATCACATCTCAGATGCCCATATGAAATTATAGATTTATTCTTTTGTTTTCTTACTCTCAGAAAGGTGAGAGCTTCTTGTGGTAATTTCTTGTTGTCCTAGGTGTCAAAGCAACATCTTGGCCTTGACTTTGGGAGGAGTGCTGCAATTTGCAAAATGTACTGGCCCAGTTGTGGAAATCAAAGCATGACCTTCACCACACATCTCCAGTGTAAAGGTAAAGAACTCACTTATTTTGTTTGCCTGAATTGTTTGTTTCTAGAATGCTAAGACTAAAAGTGTATCTGTATTATATAGTTATAGCAATATTGTCTCACTTTCACTGTCCCAGCTTCATCTTAAGAATCCTGTAAAATGTTATTTGGTGAAATACTTAGAATTCTAAAAAAATGTAGTTCAGAGCAGAGTAGACCTCTCTAGAGTAGAATTCTAAGTTCTTACTGAAACTACAAGTCCTGGGATTCCATATGATGGACCCATGACCAATCACAGTAATGGCCATTCTAAATGTAGTGCAAATATAACCTGGAGTCCAAAACCTATTGTTAGTCCCAGCTAGAACAGAAATATTGAATCAATGTCATTTGCCTATACAGTTGTCCCTCTCAGTTTGTGGACTTTGAATCGCAGTCTCAGTCTTCGTGGCAGGGACAAGTGGGGAGGGATGAAATGGTGGCTCGCACGCATGTGCATCCCTGCATGCAAGCCATGGCCATTATTTTCAATGGGGCTTGAATATTTGCGAGCCACCATTTTCATGGGGGAGGGGTCCAGAACAGATCCCGTGTGAATTGGGAGGCGGTACTGTATATATCTATATGTTGATTCAGCTTTCACCCACTGAGTCAGTGGGTCTATTCTAGTTAAGATGAACCAATAGTATCCAGGTCTGTTTTAGGGATAGAAGGAATATTTAAAGAAGTAAAAAATAGTCAAAAGTGTTTCTCAAATGCCAAGAAATCCTGATAAGAAACTTCACAGCTTGGAACTTATTCTATACAAAATTTGCATATGGTTGTTTGGGACAAAAAAACAGCGTCTTTTGGGGAGAAGACAGAATTTTCTGCACAGCAAATAATATTTCTGGAGAAATATTATTTTCTGCATAGAAAATGTAGTTTCCTGTGCAGAAAATGCTGATTTCTATACAATATAACCATATATGAGTTTTGCGCATAGTAAGTATTGAACAGCAAATCAACATTGGAAACTGCACAGTTTCCAAAGACTTTCTCACAATCAGAAAAAAATTGCTAAAATTACTGATTGTTTTTTTGAGAATAAAATTGAGAAGAATTATGCCTCTATTCTGAATATTCTTACAGTTCTGTGGAACAGAATGGAAGGATTTGGATGCAAGATTTTATGGAAATTTAATTATCATTAAAAATGCATGGGTTTTAGTTGTATTTTATTTTAAATCTAGCAAGTGAGTAAATATCACATAAGTAGCAGAAACTAAGCAATGGAACAAAACAGAACTAGGTTCCTAGGTCCCAAATTCTTCCAGTAGTGTCACTGATCTAACAGATCCCCTGCAACTTTGTAGAAATTTTGAAGTGTAAACTTTTTTGTATGTGAAGTTCACAGGCAACAGAAATGAAGGAAAATATATATAAACAGATCCATAAGAGAACTTAGGTATGTGTAGGACATCAACAGGATTCCAGCCCAAGGGTGACATTTTTCATTACCTGTGAATAATGAATAGCAATTAATGAGCTACTCAGAAAAATTAACAAGTTGCTTTTTAAAAATAATGATTCCAAACTCTGAAACTGTATGTGTTGATCATGCCTTGTTTCTTAGTTTAAACACAACAGTTGCAAAATGAGGATGGGAATTGATTTTTTCTTCCTCTGCTAAAGCTAATTGAAAATCTACAATGGTAGCTAGGAGTGAAAATCCTGATATGGTTCCTTCTCAATAAACACACACACACACAGAGGCCTTGAGTAGATGGGGCAAATGAGTGGCCAGAGACTGCTCCTGCCCTGACCACTGTGGGACAACAGCAACCAGAATCTGTGGTACCAAGGTTGGCTGCTGCCATGATCCCGAAGGGCTGTGGCTGTGGTTTGGGGGACTGCACAGCTTCTGCTTGGTTTGGGGGCGTGCATCATTTAATTGACATGCCCCCAAATCACACAGTAGGTGCCCCTTTTTTGCCCGTCTGTTTCAGGTCACAATTTCTCTTCATTATAAGATAGTGATATGGGGAAGGTGTCAGTTTCAGAGAAGCATTGCACATTTTCAAGACTGTTTTTCCCTTTCCCACACAAACATTTAA